CCCCCCGGACGCTATTTTTAGCACGAAAAGGAGGACATGTCCGGGTAAATCCGGACGAATGGTAACCCTAACTAACACGCCTACCTCCTGATGCTGACACTGGAGCTTCAAGCTGGTCAAGTGGATGAATGCACTCACCTTTCTACTCCAAAGAACTGGGTTGATACATTGCCCCGGTCACAAACAAACTGGGTGGAACCAGTCAAAAAATGCCTTTTATATTTTGCAGGGAATTTTTTAAAAAATATTTTTTTCAAACTTATTTGTTTTGTTCTGTTTTGTGTTTTCAATGAAAAACTGTAACCAAAGCCCAAAGCATTTTTAGTTGTTGAAAACCATTTTCGGTAACAATTTTCAGTTTTGAAAACCTGCAATTGAATATTTTTTTAGCAAAGCTCTGACCATTTCAGTTGCTGGTGTCTGGTTTTTCATCTAAAAAACTGGGGGAAAAAATGTCCCAAATGAAAGATTTCTATGAACATTTCTGTTGACACAAAAACTCCAGCCAGATGTAGAAATGAGTTTGGTGATCTCAGCCTAGATCTTAGTGGATCTCTGCTATGGGGAGGCCTGGACCAGCCAGGAGTCCATGCAGGACTGGGGAGCATTGCATAGCTGTGTGGGCACCCAGAACTGGACTAACAAAGGGATTGTAAGTCTGGATTGATCTGCATTCTCGGAGCAGTGCTGGGACCAAGGGGAGGAGTATCAGAAGGGTCTAAAGGTCTGGACATGGTAGAGCTGGGGGGGATGTTCAGGCGGTGCTGTGGGTTGAGCCCGAGGTACAGTGATGGAGGTGCATAGGAGAAGCTTAGGCTCTGACCATGCAGATACTTACCCATGTGCTTATCTTCGAGCATGTGAGTCGTCCCATCAGGCAGGCATACACTGCATCTGGGAGCAACTCTCCCGGCCTGAGGCCCACTGCCTTGTCCCAGCGGGGCTCATGCTAGCACTCTGAAAACAGCTGTGTAGACACTGCGGCTCAGGCAGGAGCTTGGCCTGGGGGTGGGGTGGGTCAAAGTAATATCTACCCAGCTATTTGTAAAGCTAGCGCGAGCCCCACTGACACTGCTCACTCCCAGATGCCCACTGACTCCACTGGGACTCCTCCTGGGAGCGCATTGTTTGTAGGGTCAGATCCTCGCACCCGCGCCATACCTGGCGCACTGCAGAGCTGCTACCCCACTGCGTTCACTCTGAGAGGACGGGAAAATGCCCCCAAACAGACAAAAAGCGGAAACTTCTTGGAGGGTAAATCATAGCACCCCGTGTCTAACGGGTGTTTTATTTCATGGGTGGGCCACAATGGAATGGCACCTGTAGAGCTTGGTTTGTTTTCTCCATTCATGTGCTAGGATCCATTCACTGGGCAGGTCCTGCAGGGCAGTGAATAGTCTCTTCCAGACAGACCCGGTGCTCCCTGGCCATGTGGAGAGCAGGGTCTACCCAGGGATAGACATGTCCAGGAGTAATAGGAAAGGCCGATTTGCATTCAGACCAGGCTTGTAGCAGAGGAGCTGAATTTTTTTTTTAATAAATGTTGTTATATTTTTCAGGGATTTTATCAAAAATGCTTTCATTTATTTTCACAACCATGGGGCACATTTTTTTGTATGTTGTCCAAAGTCTCTTTCTAGCGTCGTCTTTTTTTTTTTTTTTTAACTAAACAGTTGTTTAAGTGATGGCCTCGGGTGGATGGGACACTTAACCCCTTCTGTCTATGCCTCTCTCTCCTTGTCTTCCACACTCACTCACTCTTTCCCTTTCTCAGTCTCCCCTCCCTCCCACACTGCCATCTTCTTTCACCCACACATGGCCTTATCCTCTTTCACTCGCTCACTCGCACCCTGTGCCAGAGTTTCAGACTGCATAGGCGAGGCCCCCACGTTGGCACACTTCAGCCGGGTTGCCTGGGCAAGGTCAGAGACCTGTTTGAAAAGATGCTCGCCCCGTCTGTCTGTCTGTCCCGCTCGTGCACACAATTCTCTCGGGGCCTTTTTCTCATCCTGTCTATCTCTGGCAGGTCCTTCACCCCCTCCCACTGTCTCTTCAAATCCTTTATAGCTTGTTCCCCTCCCAGCTATTTTTTTATAATTAATTATTTGCCGGGAGCTGACAATGTGCTCAGCACGACCCTGGGAACAAAAAGCAAGCAGTGCCTTCCTCAAAGAGCTTTCAGGCCAAACAAGGCAGACTTAGAGCAGGCCAGACCCACTGGGAAGCCTAGAGGAGTGGCTGACTCGGATCTGCTTATTTCATTGTAAGTGACGAATGTTGTTGACTCATTGCTTATGGGTTTGTGGAAGAAGTGACACTCTTGGAAGGATCTGAACAAGCGGGGTGGGGGGGGGCAGTGTGGACGCGTGTGTGTGCTTAAAGGGCAGTGTGGACAAAGGCACGAATTCATTTAACTCCGATCACCTGATTCTGTGCTATGAACAAGTACAGTCATCTCATCACAGAGCCAACCCAGGAAAATCTGACCCCATCCCAGTCATCGCGTGTCACAGGAACAGGAAAAGAGTGATTGGGAGAACAGTCCATCCATCAGAGCTAGAGCTGGGTGATTGCTAGCACTAGCCCTGTTTCCATAGACACAGCCAGTCACGTGGCCCCAGTCAGAATGACTTCTAGGCGGGAAGGAAGTGGAAAACAATTAAAAACCCAGGCTGTCTGCGCAGAGCTCTGTTACTGGAGGTCCATTCACGCAAGGTGGGTGTTACTCTGCACGTCTCACAGCTGACTGCGGGAGCCTGTCCCAGTCGCCATACAGCCGCTTCTCATTTGCTTTTCCAGATTGTAGCTCAGTCCCAGAGGGAGCCAGTCGTTTCACCAGATGCTTTCTTTCTTTAGCCTTTGCCATATCCTCAGTCACCTTGCTATCTAACAGAAAACCAAACTCACCGCCCAGGAGCAAAACCTAGCTGCCCTCCCTCCGCCAGGATGTTAACACGATTGCCAACCCCAGGAGTTCAAAGATCAGTCTCATGACTTTTGAGGCCTGACTTGTGGTTTAAAAGCCAGGAGGCTTTTAATAATCCATTCTTTAGTTCTTTTTCTTTGCCGCCTTCGCCTTTAGCATGCACCTGGGTCACATTTTAAACTTTCTTTTGCAATCTTGAGAGCTAGAAACCTTTTTTTTTTTTAATGAAAGCCATGGGACTTTCCTAATCACATCCCTTCAGAAGCTGGGGCTTTAAGATAAGCATCAAATATCACAAAGCTCACGATAAAATCAGGAGAGTTGGCCACACTGGGTTAATGAAAATCCATGGTTATTTACCTTCCAGTAACTGTTGTTCTTCAAGATGATTTCTCAGTGTGGATCCCTCTTATGGTGGACATGTGTATCAGATGCGTGGCTTGTGCCCTAGAAGAGGGATCCACACAAGACTTGAAGAAGAAATTAATTATATTATGTTCACCTATCCAAACAATGACTCTCTCCGCATAAGGGTGCGTAATTCATCTCATGGAATTCTACACCCCCAGCCATGGAAATGGTTCTGCCCGAATCCCAAAAGGTACAACATCCTCCCAGACAGTCTCAGTCTTATCCAAGAGAGTCCATGGTTAGAAAAACATTCAGTGTAAGTGTGAAAAGATGCTGTTGCTTTTTGAGAGCCTTGTGTTGAAAGGTTTTCCCCACGTCATTGGTACATATGCAAGAGTTCTGCGTTTTGAAATTGGGGGTCTGTAAGCAGATGGGATACACACCCAACTTCAGACAAAACTACTGGTTTATTACTAAAAGGGATCATTCCAAAACAATACTTCATGTAATCGCAGCCTGAACCAGCTCTTGAAGATGGACTGTTCCTAGATTTCCTTCAACCCAGCCGTAATCCTCTCTCCAGGCCTCATCTGCTCCTGTGTTTCCTTCCCTCAGGATCTGTACCAGACCCTTTGCTGGAGAACTGTTCCCTTATGGTTAGAGCCTAATGAACCTCACTTTCCCCAGTGAGTCAGCAGTAAATTAACTGGGGGCAACACAATCCCACTGCTCTGTTACAGGGTCTTTCCCTCAGCGGGCCTGGTCACCCTCCTGCATTTATTTAGACTGGCTTTAGAGACCAAACCAAACTACCACACAGCGGAGTGACCAGATTTATCACATTTCCACATTGCTCCTTCTCTTCTTTCTCTCCCCAGATCTGGTGAGAGGCTATTCTATGACCCCACCCACTCTCAGCATTACCGAGGAGGAACACACCATAAACTCCAAGGATACACTGACTATTACCTGCAGGTAAGAGACAAATAAAAATGTCTTTGGGTAGATTGCCTGAGCCAGCTCTTAAGTGCTCAAAGAAAAGTCCAACAGGAGGTCATCAGGGGAGCTCCCTAGCTTCAGGACAGCTGGAAACGGGCAGTTTAACATGGCTTGTTAGAAGTCTATGGCAGATATTCCTGGTTGAAGAAGAATCCCTTGAGATGGTGGTAACCTCCATTGCTCCATTACATGTAGGACCAGCTGGAAGCAGCTAGTAGAAGAATGGGGAGCTGCTTGCATGGTCTCACAGGTTCCATTGTTGGCTCTAGAATAAGGTGTTTTCTTTACCATCCTCCTCTTCCTTTTCTGTGTGATAGCCTCTTTGGCATGACTCTCCCTGCTGTTCCGGCTAGTTCTGGCTTCTCTCTGGAGCAAAGGGTGCCAGTCATTATGCTGTGGAGAAATAGAGACTGGGGGGGAAAATGCCACTCTCATCGATGACTGTGACTGCATCCGGAGTCCCTTCTTCTTTTCCGGCAAGCAGGGGTTTAATGTCTTGCTTAGTCCTCACACAGACGGTCAAGGCAAGGCTGTTGGGGGTGGAAGGCCGCCGACAAGCTCTCAGGGAGGGATGGGTAACTGTAGAAGAGGAGCTTGGCAATTAGAAGGAGAGGATGCCTTTGAGAAGACAGAGCTCTACACTGACTGGGCTGGTTTGCCCCACGCTGGGGTGTTTTTCCATTTATGCTGTACACACCGCCCTGCAGCCCTTAAGGAAAAATAAAACTGTGGGGAGAGAGACTTTGCTGGCTCAAACTGGATTTTGCTGCTGAATCAATAGTGTCACCCCAACAACTTACAGTGATCGATGCCAGGATTTGAGAGCATGTCTCCAGTGGTGGCATGCAGCCCACAGTGCCACTGAAAGCCCTCAGTAATATGCATTACAGTGTCGCGTCCACTCCAAACCCCTCCGTAAGGACGTTAGGCTTATCCACTCATCTTGGCATACGTTTATCTAGCCTTTTCTTGAACACCCCTAGTAACTGTGCACCATTGTTACCTTGCAAGTCATTTGTTATCCTGGTTCTGGGGAGCAAGCGGAAGACTAGAAAATATAGATGAAGTCAGTGGAGTTCCTCACGGGTGCAGGGATCTGCCTGCCCAGTTCTCTTTGCAGTGTTGGTGCCACACTCTCCCGTGGCTTCATTTGGACCTTGGTAGGTAAAGGAGAGAGACAGTGTAATTGGTCTCAGTTTAGGGGACCTGTCTTCACATCACAAAACCTACCGCACCTCAGTGGAACCCTTCTTAGCAGAGGCCCAGGAGTGGACGGGCCTGCCAGCGGTTGGAGCGCTTCAGCAGAGGCAGCGTGGAACATGCTCGTGCCCCCAGGGCCCGTGCTCTGCCTTTTCTTTGACTATATACGCCTCCATTCCCTAGCGATGTCATGTCAGCATCATTCGGCACACTAGGAAAGCTGCTGCAGCCTGCAAATCTGGCTTGAGAAGACTTCCTGCCACGGCTGAGCAGGAAGGGTCCTGCCTGGCATCTAACATATTGCAGGGTGCGTGTTGCTCCACCTCTGAGCAGGTGCAGCGTGCATGCCTGACCTTCTGTGAGTCAGCGCTGGCCGCTGATGGCAAGGCTTCCTTCTGCTGGCCTGGACACTCTGGAGGGAAGCTGGCTGCCAGCTCAGATTTCACCCATCCTGTTCTTTTGCATGAGACTGAGGAAGCCACACCCTTTTGCCCCCATTTGCAGCAACACACGCAAGGGCAGAACCCCACACGTAACCATATGTATAGTTATCCATTACCTCTGTGATGTGCACTGCACGGGACATTGAGCAACATGTGAGGGGTTAGTTACCAGCCCTGACCCGTCTTGCTCAGCCATGGAAGGAAACTGTCTCAAGCCAGATGTACAGATGTGCAGGTATCCTTACACCACACAGGGCAAGGGAAGTGATGGATAAATGCATAGAGTCCTGTGTTGCTGGTTGATCTAAAGCAAAGAGGATGTATTCAGGCTAGAAATGGGTGGTAAATAAAAAATACCCCCTGCCAGTCAGTGCCCCTGGCTGTCCTGTATGCATATACTTGCCTGTTTAATATGCTGTGTGAGGCCCTTCTCTTTAATTCCACCCCTCCAGGACAGGAAATAGCAGTTATGCTAACGTTGTATCTTTAGTTATACCCTTATTATGTATCTATTTACATGAAAGGAAACCATGGGGAGCAGAAAAGAGTCTGATTTCCAGTCTGGACTCTACGCAGAAAAGCCTCCTTTGCCAAAGCGAAATGACCCAGGCTCTCAGTTAGCATCTGAGAAACAGAAGAAGCTACCCAAATAGCTTACAGCTTCCCCCGTTCCCTGCTGCTGACTTCGGCTCATCTTTCATGCTCGCTCGGAAGACATCCAAACTGCGGGCCAGGGTGGAAATGGTAGAGGCAAAAAAGGAACAACTCTGTCTTGAGCTCCCAGATGTTCGGGAGAATACAGGGCCAGCCAAAGATCATCTGGTGGGCCTGCGAACAGCACTAAGAGGGAGGGATCCCTGCACCTTCCACAAGATCATGAAAACTCTGCCCACTTGAAGCCCTGCTTCCCCTCAGCGAAGGGTGTGCGCCCTACGTTACCCAGAGAATGGTACCCAGAGAATGATCACTTTACAGGGACACTCCACAGACGCTGCAGACACGCTCTGCACCTTCGACGTGGTTCAGATGCTCCCCCTCCTCCCGTGGAGCTCTAGGGCTGGTGTTTCTATCACCTCTCGAGGGGATGACTGCTGAGAAGGCAGTTACCCTATCATCCTCACCCCCAACTGCTCCTTCATTGGAATGAAAAGCAAATCCTCACTGGTTCATACATCATTAATTATGCCCAGCTGTGTCTCCAAGTCTCCTCTGGACCCCGGACCACCCTGAAAAGACATGGCTTACATTAATGGGAGCTGAAGGGTTATGGCAGCAAAAATATGCAGCGTGCAGACCACAGAGGTGCGGGGGCAGAGAAGAGAAAAGGGGGAGAGTCCCAGGGTGGGCAGGGGGAGATCGTTGAACTAAAATGATGTCCTTTCAGATTAGTATCCAGTGACCCTCCTGCTGGGAGTCAAAGTGGAGCTGGCTTTTGTTTGTCCACGTTGTAACTCCTGGGAACCATCCTTTGTAGCTGCCTCCCATCCCTGTAGTCCAAGGCTGCTAAGCAGTGTTTAGGCAGAGAACTGCACTCAAGCTGGCTTTTGTTTCCTTGCACAGACAGTGCCGGGCCCCATGTAAAAAAACCTCTTTTGCTCCCGGAAAGGTGCATCAGCTCTGGGCCCTTGGAGTGTCCCAGCATTGAGTCCGAGCATGTGATGGAGTAGGGACAAAGGGGTGAGGGCCACACATACAGCACTTTTATGAGTTCAAGTCCCAAGAATGGCGGAAACAATATTGGGATGAATCTCAGTGTTCATGGCCTGGCCGCACTTGCCAGAGGGGAAGCGAAGAGACGGTGCCTTTCCATTTCCTGAATACTGGAGCAGAGCACATGGGAGCTGCTTGCACAGCAGAAGAAACGTCAGGAGGAAAGAAATGCAAAAAGAGATTGGTATCACACCTCTCACTACCTGCCCGTTACATCCTCCTGCAGGTTTTAGTCACTCAGTGTGCCGGGTCAGCGTAAGTGGCTTTGAAATTCAGGCCTGGTCTAGGCTAGAAAGTGTTAGTGCCTCAACTGTGCTGTTCATGTACAGGAAAAGGGACAGCTGTACCAGTATAAATCCCCATTATACCAGGGTAACTGCATCCACACTAGGGCTATCACTGGTATAACTGTTTTGGTGAACATAAAATCACATCCCTAACTGCCATAGTTATATTGGTAAAACTTTTAAGTGTAGAGCAGGCCTTAGAAAGGGGAGTGGAGGATTGTCATTAACTGCATACAGCTGTTTAATGGATGCTTGTGGGTGCACAAATATTGCTCTGGGAGAAAGGAAGTTTGATCCTGGACCCCTCCTGGCTCACAATGACAAGTCCGTGAGCACTGTTGCGGTGCTGGAAGCATGGAAGGAGAAACCTATGTCCTGCACGGAAGCTTTCATGGGGGCATTGGGAAGAAGCAGAACTGCTCCCATTTTGATTCGCTGCTCAGCATGACAGACCCCAAAAGTCCTACCTGAAGTTTGGTGATCTCTCTTCAACAGGTTAGACCACAAAGCTTCTGCAATTTTTGCTCTGTATCCATCAGTCTGTGTTTGGGAGATACAGAGAGGGCAGGTAAGAAGAGTGCTGTCAGTTCCTCTCCATCTCCCTTGAAGAGCATCCTTTCAGAAAGTATTTTGGCTAATGAAGAAAACAGCTGTTGAGAAGTCTGTACTGTATCTGTTGTTAGCTGGCACCAGCACTGCCTGTCTCCTAACTCCCAGCGAAGCAGAATGCTGTCAAGGACCTGACAGAGGGGCCAATGCTGGATCAGTGTGACAAAGACCGTTGTGAAACAAAACTGTGAAGGTGAAATATAGCTGAGATGCCCAGAAACCATTACTTGGACCTCTTCCAAACACAGCCGGCCTGGTTCAGGGGTGAATCTAAGTGAGTCTAAGCTCGTGTAACTTCCATCTCCTTCTAGCCCACTTAACACACAAATTACACTAACTTAGACTCACACCCACTTACCGACATGTAACTCACCCCCCCATACACATCACCATGGAATTTGGACCAGAAATGTTTGAGGCAAGAGTGCTTCGATTAAGAACAACCCATGGGCCTGTCAACATGTCTGTTTGTATTGGCCCATCTCAGATATATGTTTATATAAATATCCATCACTCAACTACTGCTAGCCCTGATGGTTAATAAAACAATGGATTGGACAACATATGAAAATCCCAGTTGGTAAACAAACAGAAAGTAGAAACTCTGGAGACTTGTAGAATTACTAAGCTTCATATGCAGCCCCAAGAATTCCTGAACAAATGCAAGAGGTTTTGAGGCTCCATAATACTGTCTGCCTTAAAATCTTGAGATCTAGTTAATAAGCACTGCCGTCCAGCTAGAGTCTGGTCTCCCAGGCTTTTGAAAAGCAAGTTAAGTGCAGAGGGAGTAGGTGGACTCAGTAGGGAATGATATGTATGACTCTGGATAGGAGGTGAGGAGGGTTTATAATTTGTTTCTGGTTTTGATGTCTGATTAATCGATCGATTTTATGTATACGCATTGGATGGAAACAATTTTAAAATCCAAATATATTTTTAAAATATAAATAAGAGCCTATGGAAAAGAGTCAAGTTAGTCTAGTGTCTCCCCCAACTCTGGCTTGTTCTATCCTAGTGAAACTAGATTCACGCTACATCAGAGACTTAAAGTGACACTCTACTCAGGTCCCATTGTAAAAATAGCCCCTTCTTGCTCGATGGACCTGTGCTTTTGTGTATGCCGGGTCTGCTCATTTTAGTGATAAAGATACCTTTAAAGGACATTTTTATTCCTGTTAGCTCTGTGAGACTGAGTGAATTGCGGTTTCAATTCCATTTCCTGAATCAACAGAATTAAGTAAACAGAAATGTTCCCGTCAGTTACTCCGGTGCGAGCCCACTGAAGACAAGGGGGTTACACAAGTGCCATTGAGGGCAAATTTTGAAGAAAATGGGGATGCCCAGATATGACTGAGGGCACAATGTAGCCTGAAGCTCTGGTTATTGGTGATATGTGAGCAGGAAAGGACCCAGCTCGGATCTCCCAGCCCAGGCTGAGTTTGCAGGACGGGCAGCTTAGAACATACATTGTTCTACTTGTGCATTCATGAGGCACAATGAACACGGAACTCCACAATGCCTCCCTGAGCCACCTTTCACAACAGAGCCACCTTTTAACAGAGCCCAGGACTCTGTGACAAGCCTACAAAACCTTTTCAAAAGCCATGGACATTTAGAGCAAAGAGACTTGGAATTCTCCAAGTCTGCACCTTCGGTTAGAGAGATGGGGCTAAATGCATCATGTACATTTCACCTCCCACCACCTCCTGATCCCTCCTAACCCCAGGAGGGGATTCCCAGAGGAGGGAAGTGATAAGTACTGGTCAGAGTTTCACGGTATATCCATCAGGACAGGGTGCTCAGTGGATGTGTTAAATAAGCACAGTCCCTGGCTCCGTTGGCCATTCTCTCTTCCCAGCACCACCCACTTTGGAAGCTGCACCGTCCCCCCATGGGCATCCCTGGGG